CTTGGGTTTCCAAGGTGGTATCACTATGGAAGTAGATTGCCCAACGTTCCTTCCGAGGAGTGGCTGGTGGGTTTGAACCGCCAGCCTTCTCAAATGCCTTAGGCACTAGGCCACCAGAGCTCCTGCTAACCCTGACTGGCAACAAATTGTTTAAGAACTTCTAGACCTTCACCAGGAAAACAGCTGCACATCCAGGCTTTAGAAGGACCAGCCTGGTGAGGTGCCCCTCAATAGGACCACGTCATGGATCGTCACACCACTGGGAGTGGAGCTCACGCACTGGCTTTGCCAAGAACACAGATCATCAAGACAAGCAACTCCATAGAGCGTTCCCAACAAGCTCCCTGACTGAGTGAGAGAAATCAAAGTCCCTGGGAGGATTACAGGAGCCCTGAACAGTCTGTGTGGGAGCTGCCATGGCTGTCCACACAACAGATCAAGTGACACCAAGAATCACAGGCCCACTTCGATCTTCCCTTAGTTCAAAGACCTCCACCTCGAGAAGCAATGCCTTCAATCTGAAAGTTCCATTCTTTCTTCTGATCCATTCCCCATCCGATGGCGATTATGAAAACAGTTTCTGAAAAGATGGACTTTTTCCTTTTTGATGTTCTTGTATGCCGTCAAGTCGATTTCAACTCATAGCCACCCTAGAGGACAGAGGAGAACTCCCCCATAGGGATTCCAAGACTGTAACAACCTGCGATATTCATATGACACAACCTTGCTTCCTGAAAGTGAAGATGACTTGAAGCACTTACTGATGAAGACTGAAGACTACAGTCTGCATTATAAATTACACCTCAATATAAAGAAAACAAAAATCCTCACAACTGGACCAATAAGCAGCATCACAATAAATGGAAAAAAGATTCAAGTTGTTAAAGATTTCATATGACTTGGTTCCACAATCAACACCGATGGATGCAGCAGTCAGGAAATCAGACTTCATATTGCACTGGGCAAATCTGCTGCAAAAGACCTCTTTAAAGTGCTGAAGAGCAAAGACGTCTCTCTGAAGACTAAGGTGAGCCTAACCCAAGCCATGGTATTTTCAATCGCCTCATATGCACGTGAGAGCTGGACAATGAATAAGGAAGACCGAAGAAGAGTTGATACTTTAGAGTTGTGGTGGTTAACAGAAAGTACCATGGACAGCCAGAAAAACAAACCAGTCTGTCCTGCAAGAAGTGCAGCTGGAATGCTCCTTGGAAGCGAGAATGGCCAGACTTTGTCTCACCTCCTTTGGTCATGTTGTTAGATGGGGCCGTTTCCTGGAGAAGGTTATCATGCTTGGTAAAGTGGAGGGTCAGTGAAAAAGGGAAAGGCCCTCAGAACAAGATGGATTGACACAGTGGGTGCAACAATGGGCTCAGGTATAGCAAGGGCTGTGAGGCTGGCACAGGACCGGGCAGTGTTTCATTCTGTTGAACGCAGGGCCATGTGATAGTTGGAGCTGTGTGTCAACTTGGCTCGACCACAGTTCTGTGTGGTTTAAGCAGTTGTGATGTGGTCATTCCCATGATGGGATCAGATGTATATGTTTTGAGCAGCCAATCCACTGAAAGGGAGTTGCCCTAGGGTTGTGACCTGCTTCCAGTATATTTATGGACATTCTGGGAAAAGAGACACTCTTCTGTGGGTTGGGATTCTGTTGTGCCGCCTACAACTGTCCATGAGCGAACAATCTACCATTCGGCCTGGAGATCTTGGATTCGTCATTTGTTGGAGTCAACAGCCAGTACACTGCCTGCCAACCTTGAGCTCCTCAGCCCCTGCAGCTGTGTGAGTCGGGAAAAGCCTCCAGCTTGACATTTGATCCAAGAACTTGGGACTTGCCAGCTTCTGTAAGTGTGTGAGCCATCTTCCTAAGATAAATTTCTTTCTCTCTCTCTCTAAGCTTTACTGGTTTTGTTTCTCTAGAGAACCCAGTCTAACACAGGCTGCTATGAGTGGAGCTGACCCGACGGCACCTAACAGCAACAGCAATTGCTATGGAAGCAGACTGCCTCGTCTTTCTCCCGCAGAACAT